CCAAGGAAGACTCTTCAATAAAATTAATGTGCTTGAATAAGATTTAAGAGTCTGCCTCTGGGGCTGGAGATGGCTCAATAATTAACAATGGATACTGTTCTTGCAGGGGACCAGAGTTTGGTTTCCAGCACACTTATTGGGAAGTTCACCATCACTCATAACTCCAACTCTAGGTGACCTGACACCCACTTTTGGCCTCTACTCATGTGCACTTGCAAACAGGCGCCCACACCCACAGCCACACCCATACTCACACCCACATCCGCATCCACCACATTTTAAGTAGTAATAAAATCTGGGGGGAAAGTATACTTTTTCTGCCTCTGGACCATCCAGATATCTTCAAGCCATAATCCTAATTGTGACATTTACAAAGTCAATAGTCTCTTCTGGCAGACAAATGCTAACATGTTATATAAAGTCCCTCAAATATAATCATGGGCCTGTGTGAAATAAAATTAAGATACTCGATATAGAAGTTCTTTTTCTCTGTCTTAATTCCATGCCTTTTTATTTTAGCTTCCAACTATTATCAAACCTTCCTCCCAAAACAGCAGTAGAAATTAATTTGCTCTTATGTAAAAATAACTGATGGTGGCTGAAAGTATTTCTTCTTCCAGGGAAAATTTCATATGGATAAAGCCTCAGATAAAATGCTTGCAGAACCAGGCTGTTTGATGACAGGCTGTTCTTTTTCATTGGCTGAGAATTTCACAAATGTATATAATGTGTGATCGAGGTCTCCTTCACTGCCTCTCCTCCAGTTCTGTCCCCACCACCACTCTTCCCTTCCAACTCCATGTCTTCCTTCCTTCCTTCCTTCCTTCCTTCCTTCCTTCCTTCCTTCCTTCCTTTCTTCCTTCCTTACTTCCTTTCTTTCTCTCTCTCTCTTTCTCTCTCTCTCTCTTTCTTTCTTTCCTCCTTTCTTCCTTTCTTTCTTTCAAACCCACAGAGTAAACTTGGTCTTCCAGTATGTACAGGACTTAATGAGAAAATAATAGAAAGATTTCTCATGAGTCAAAGCTTAAGATGTGAGAGAATGATTTGCCAAACAGAGATGAACCACTATCCTTTCGCTCCCCTCTGTACCTGTGCATGCCTATCACACGCGTATGAGTACACATCTTTGTATATACATACATGTACATGTGCATACAAGTTGCGGGGGCCAGAAGTTGACATCTGGTACCTTCCTAGATCATTCTCCACCTGACGTACAGAGACAGGGTCCCTAACTTGAACCAAGAGATCACCAATCAGTCTAGTTGGCCATGTTGTTGCAGGAATCCCCGGTCTCTGGCTCACACATGCTGGGATTACAGATGGGCTACCATGACTACCCAGAATTTACATGGGCACTAAAGGTTCAAACTCCAATCTTCACAAGTACGTCGCCTAATGAGTCATCTCCCTATCTCCAAACTTCTGCTCTTGAACTGTACCTATTTGGGGGTCAACTCAATAAAAATGGATAAAACTTTCTGTACAGATAGCCTATGTATCTATGGGCTCATCTCTGATTCAACAAACCACAGGTCAAAACATTTAATGAAAAACTGCAACTGTACCAAATATGTACAAATGTTCTTCTTGCCATTACTCTTTAGGCAATAATGTATACTGATTATTACATAACATGTGCACTGTATTAGGTGTTATGGGTTACCTAGGGAAAATTTAGGTATACAAGGGAATGTGTGTAGGTTATATGCAAATAGTACATCTGGAACCAATTTCCCACATATCCTGAGCAAACTAGCATTTTACCTAAGGCTTCACCCTAAGTACTCTCCCAAGATATCCAGGACGTTACTTTACTTGAAGAGAGATCCTAATATTTCCAAGTTAGGTTTAGATTGTAGTGAGATACCCACCCAGCCTGTGCCTGTAAAGCAGACCATGCCTGTGTGGGCATGGTCACCAGTGTAGACATGATGGAAGTGGGTTTAGGTCTGGGGACAGGTGAGCTCTCTGTTGCTTCTGGTTGTGTCATGGAGAGCAGCCTGGGTGGATCCTTGGAGAGGGAACACATGGCAGTTATCTATTTCATGGTAAGTGCATTCTCCACAAATAAACTTCACTTAACCTGTATTGATTCTAGTGAATCCTGAGTCCCATACAACATCTGGTGCCAGCCATGATGTGTGGCCTCTGTAGGTCCAGTGCATTTGTCCACGTTGGGCACCAGATGTCACGTAACAGTTACAGGCAGGGTGGATATCTCACTACATGAGATGGTTTATTATCCAAAGAGAAATGTCCCCAACATTTCATTCAGGCAGAAAGCAGAATTTCATGTAGTCTAAACAGGGTCTTCTAGAGAGTTCTACAATATAGTGAGAAGACACAAGTAAGGTAATTGTGCAATTATAAATGAGAAGAACCTCAGCTAGCAAACCTTACCGGAAACCACCAAGGAGAAATCAGATGGTATAAGAATAACAAGTTACTGGGCTGGAGAGATGGCTCAGACGTTAAAGGCTAGGCTCACAACCAAAAATATAAGAATAACAAGTTCCTTGCTTGTGGTCTTCTATTTCTGAATAATTGCCTCTCACAGCATCAATAGACGGAGACAGTAAACACAAAATGTAAATTAACACAGCTGACATTTTCCCTTGTGCCTAGATTCCATACTTGGAAGCTATCTCTATTTCAAATCAAGTCCATACTTCTTCACTTTTCATATGCGTTGCAGATCTATCTTCTTATCACCACCTGGAAACAAAAAGATAAGTACAACCAAATCCAGGTGGTTTTAGCCCCACATTCCTATACTTTCATATGGCTTGATTTCTTTTACCTACAGGTCACATAGATACATTGGCATTGTCTGACTTAGCTTGAACTTGGGGATGTTTTTCAGTTAAACAGTGTAGTTCTTCATGCATGTTATCCTGGGACATCACCACCTACTCTGATTTTCTTGTATGTCACAATGATGGTATGACATACAATGGAATTAGCGGTGCTTTTAAACAGGTAGAAGTTATAAAAATACAGTTGAGCTGAACAGGTTATGACTTTGACATTGCTTTTTGAGAATTGCTGTTTGCTCACTTTTACAAAAAAATTTCTAGCTGGATATGGTGGTGATTCCTATTATCCACAAACCCTGGAGAATAAGACAGGAGAATCATTAGTTCAAGGCTAGTCTAGGCTATATGGAACTCAAGCTCAACCTAGGCTATACAGGGTTTCAAGTTAGCCTGAACTACACAGCTCAACAAACCAAGATGTAGGGACATAACTCAGTCGTAGAGCACTTGCCAATCCTTGGTTTGATCCCCAGCATCATATGAACAATAATAATTATGATTATTTCATTACATGCATGCTCCTGTACATGATCTATATCTGTGTTTCCCCAAACAATTAAACTAGATTTTGAAAATCTATTTGAGAGCCAAGTATGGTAGCACACAGCTTTAATCCTAGCACTGGGGAGGCAGAGGTAGGCAGATATTTGAGTTCCAGGAAACCCTGGTTGATAAAGAAAGTTCCAGGACAGCCAGGGCTACACAGAAATCCTATCTCACAAAAGAAGGAGAAGAGGAGGTGGAGGAGGAGAAGAAGATGATGATGATAATGATGTCAGTTTCAGAAACTGGTTAGAGCTTGCTTTGAAAATATAATGATTATTTATAAAAACCCTTTTTGTGAGTAAACAATCATTCCCTCTCCAAACCATTGCTTTTTTAAAAGTTAAAATTCCACCTGCCTTTTACAATGACAGCCCTTTCACATCACTCCCACCATTTCATTGGGGAAGGGCAAGAGAGAGAGAGAGAGAGAGAGAGACAGAGAGACAGACAGACAGACAGACAGACAGACAGACAGACAGACAGACAGAGATAGCATACCTGTGGGGGTTAGGGGACAACTCCAGGTGTCAGCACGGTCTCTCCTGTTTGAAGCTGGGACCTTTGTTGCTTGCTGCTGTAAATGCCAGGCTATCTGGCCTAAAAGTTCCCAGGTATCCTCATGTCTCCACTTTATATCTCACTTTAGAAACACTGGGTTTACACGCGTGCATTACCACACCTGGTTTCTAATAGGCTCTTGGGGTTTGAACTCAGGTCCTAAATGCAGGAACAGCAAGTGCTTTAAGCAGCCAGATCATCTTTCCTGCCCCAGCATGTTATAGAGAGAGAACACTTCACGTTTCCTTTGCTTGGTCAGTTCTCTAGAAAATACTGATTCCCACACCTACTTTAAGTCTCAGGAACATTTTTCAAATGTCCAGTTTAGCATTGCCTTCTTCCATCACAGGCTCATTTACACTTACCGCAGTATCTGATGTTTTTCAGCTTAATCTCTCTCCCTCCTGTCTCTCTCCACTCTCCCTTCCCCTGTGTCTCTCTCACCTATGAGTCATTATAATTTCAGTAGAAGCACAATAGAGGGTTAGAACCTGTCGCCCACACCCTACTGTAAGTGAAGGGAACCAGAAGACAGCTTTCTCTTTTTGTAAATGTCAAGTGTTCACCTGTCTCTATTGAGGGCTGTACAGGTATTCAACCTTAAAGACCTAAGGTCTGGGGTCTGAGAAGAGCTTCGCACATTCAGAGACTGAACTGACAAGGCCATTTGATTGGTCATTCCACTTTGTTCTTGTAACAGGCTGCAGCACTAACTTGGTACACGGTTTGCTCAGATGTGATGGGAGAACCTACCCCATTATTGACCCACAAAACAGTCAGCAAAGCATTTCCTGGTTCCTCTTCTGGGGGCAACCCCCTAAGCCACCAAAGGCAAGAGAGCATGAAAGACACAAATAGAGGAAACTCAAAGTTAACAGACACTCACTTGTCCCTTTGCTGTGCTGTGTACTGGGGCAAGGGGAGTCTGGTGATCTTTCTTTCAAGTCTTTGTAAACATTGTGTCTCCTGTCTTAACTACCCATCCTGACGCTACATACTACACTCTACTAATTGTCACTTCTGCTAAGTCCATACTAAGTGGAAGAAGGTTGCAGAAAACACACACTGGAACATGACTTGGTTATCATCATAGCTTTTATGAGCACATCTCCAAGTCTCATGCCTGCAAGTCTTCCCAGGGAATGTGACACTGAGGATATCAAACTGACGTGGGGGACCCAACCAAAGCTGCTTTTTGCCATTGAGATGATTCTGTGGCATTCAGAAAAGAGGAATCATTGAGGCATTTTGAAGATCTGGTCACGCAGAGACAGAAAGAGGAAGTGTAAAACCCAACTGGCCTTCTGCATTTCTCTCCAGAAAGCAGCTCACAGTTTTAATTGCCCACCTCGTTTGGCAGCTCTAAAGGAAGGTGGCAGTGCACCAAACCCCACTGGGGCAGCCTTCAGGATTAGAAAGTACTCTGCACCTTGTAGAGCCTAGGAGACAGGAGAATCATTTTAAATGCAAATTAAATTGAGGGGGTAGCAGAAAAGAACACATAAAAGATGGTAAAACAAAACCTTTCAATTTTCTTAAATTAGCAGGCTAATGTGTTCGAAAGAGCAGCCCCACTCAGATCCCATCTTGGGGGGTAGCATTTCATCACAATATAAAACCGGCAGATCCATCATTGCCCTCCACTCTGTGCTCTTGACTGGAGATTGAAGGGAAAATTAGAAGCTGTTCGTTGGGCTTTCAGGCTCAGCAGCCCTGCTCAGCTTGCTTTCTGCTCTCCATCGGTGGCGGCATCCTGTTGAAGAAGGACAAGTGCTGGTGAGTGACTGTCTTCTAACTTTGACAATCTTCCCTGTGTGTGTCTCTGGCTACCTTGCCTTTGGTGGGCTAGGGGCTTGCCTCCCATCTGATCTGTGCATCTTTCAAAATCTGGGAAATTTCAGACAGCATTTTACGCTGTTCCTAGGGACGGATTCACAGAAGGAAAGAGTTATTTTCAGCATAGATGCTGGTGACTGTTTCTGTGTATTAATTATAATGGGAATGTCGAACATGTTGCCAATTAAAGGGCCTTTCTTCATCCTCCTGCCCCATTCAGCAATAACGTAAGGATAGGTGCCCCAACGTGGTCCAGACAGCTTAGTCTTTTCCACTGTTTAATCATTTACCATTTTACGCTGTTCTAGCTGCAAAGCAGACTGGAATTTGAGATTGTAAAAAATAGATTATTAAACCATAATTCTGATTTTTAAATAAATGTGAGATCTCTCCACTCAAGAGATGGGAGAGTAGGCTGTGAATGGCCCTGGATGATGTAAAATCGACATGTAGATTTGGATGGTTCCCTGCCAAAGTTTTACATGGGAGAGTGGCAATTTCCTTCCTTTGCAGAGGAGGGAGTGGAGGGGCTGGAGCTGGCGTCACCTTCTGTTGCTAAGGTAACATGTTCTGACCATTTTATCTGATAGAGCAAGTCCAGTGGACAGAATATATTATTCATCACTGATCTAATCAGATAATCAAAACTGTTTACTTGTGCTGGGACTATTTAGTAAGATCAAAGGCAGCTGGTTGAAACTGCTCATTTGGACTATCGACAGCCTTTGACTTTACGGGGTTGCTTTTTGCAGTAAGTATAATTTGCTGTTGGGGTACCTTTTGCTATTTTTAAAAAAGTTTCACCTTACCAGACTTGGTTTCTTAGATGAGAGTGTGTAGTCTTAGAAAGCGAGTGACTGCTTTAGCTTCCTGATCTTAAGGACTTTGTCTTGCTTCTCCTTAATAATATAATAGTGCAGAAATAGAGGTAGCTCGTCTGTGCCAGTATCAGGGGGAAACTCCATGGGCTGCATGAGAAAGGACTAGCTGGTTTTCATGCCCTGCTAGTGCATGCTATGGGAAACATTGCAAATCTATGATGTTTCTCACTGCTGCACGAGCCGCACTTCTGTAACAAAGCAGCTTATACTATATGGGGCTTAGGCAGATGAGCTGGTAGCATAGATTGCTGAAGGGAATGGCGAAAGAGTAAGGAATTCAAGATACCTGTACAGCAAATGAGCCACCCTGTAATGCAAGGTATCTAGGAGAGAAGGCTCGGATTCCCAGGGGATTCTCTTACTAGAAGCCCCTGGATCAATGTAAGAGCAACCTGTAGGATGAATGACACTTTCTAATGTCATATATTGGTCAGACTTTTAAAACCTGGAAGTAGATGAATTTAAAAGTATACCTTGTGTCAGCTAATATACAGCAAGGAGAAAACAGTATGTTACTTCTCTTTAACCTGGATTGTTATTTTTTTCTTTTTATTCCCATGTAGAATATATTATTTTTAATCAATGTTAACTAAAGGTTGCATCTTCTCATACAATACAAAGGCTCTGGCAATGGGGGCTTTGAAATTTGAAATGTCAGTCAAATGTTAGCATATGATAATAGAGTACTCTTTAAAAAAAAAGAAAGAATAGACACACTTGACAGCCTGAAATACTGTGAGGTTTTTTTTTTTTCTCTTTATAGATATCTACGTGATTAGCTTCTCTCAAAATCCTGTTTTAAACATCGAAGATGGATTATCCTAAAATGGATTATTTTCTGGACGTGGAGTCTGCTCATAGACTCTTGGATGTGGAGTCAGCACAAAGATTCTTCTACAGTCAAGGAGCTCAAGGTAACAAGTGGAAAAGAGGGGAGCCCCTCACCATTGGGCTGCTTTGTTGTAAACAGTGCAGCAGCAGCAGCAGCAGCTGCAACAGTTTGAGCGCTGTCTTAAAAGGCCATCAGTTAATATTTTCAAATTGATAACATTTACCAAAGTGCTGCTGAAATTTCAGCACAGACTAAATAAATCCACTCATCTTGGGGGTGTTAACAAGTGTTGGGGTGCATACCTCTGAGGGTTATGTTAGAAGATGATCCCCAGCTCCTTGAGTCCAGAGCTTATGCCTAAAAGGATTGAGGGATGCATTTTTCCATAGAAATTTTAGGCAGGCAGCTATTGCACTGGTGGAGATCCTCGGGCACCCTGACCTGGCTGAGTGCCATCCGGCTGGATAATGGGCTTCTGAGATAAGTGTGCCACTTGTGTTGCTGCCTTATCTATCCTCAGTGCTCTGGGTTGTTGCCTAGAGAATCCTCAGTGCACATTCAAGGGTCTCCACCCACTCCTGTGAAGTGTGTTTTCATTACCTAGTTCACGGTAGTTGATCTGGCTCTAGCATATTTGCTCTCCTGTCCCCAGGTTCCATTTAGAATTTTTGCCATCGGTAAAGTAACAAAAGAATGTCAAGTGTTTCGTCCTCTTGATGGATAGATTTTTTAAAATCATAGTTTGTGTTCTTTATAACATTTTAAAGATGTTCATTCAAATGATGGCTATGCCACAGAGCATGCAGGTGGCATACTGGGAAGGAGGACAGGGCTCTTATTTAAACAGGAAAGTAGTTGGAAGCCACAAAGCAGAGACAAAAATGAGATCGGCTGTGCTGCAATCCTGGCATCTTTCACTGTTGCACGACAGGAAGCTCGTCTGGGGCACTGATAATAATCCTCCCTGATTTTTCCTAGTGTTTTTAGGGATTTCTTGTGCGTTGCTCATGGCTTGCAGAATCTTGAGGGCTTATGAGACTCCTTTTCTATTTTCTGGGTGTGAGCCTGTGCTCTTAAAGTTAAGAGAGGCTGGATATTATCTGCAGGGTTTGTTTGGGGGAGCAGACTCAGCGGCACAGCATAATTTGGCAAAAATAATACCATGGCAAATACCCATCCTCTAAGAGGCAGGAGACAGCATTGCTATTCTCTGTCACTTTAAGAGGTCTAAGAGTGTTGCTAGGGAGAAGGGCGGGAGGCTAGTTAACATCACCAGCTTGTTCTGGATCTACAAGTAGGCTGGCAGCTAGAAGTAGGTGTGGAGCTAGAAGAAGGAAGAGAGGGGCTTCCACCGTCACCGTCATGGGACCTGACTTTCCACACTTCCACATCTGCCCCACTGCACTCCATTCTGAGTCGTGTTCCATGGCAGGCTCATCCACCTGAGCTGTAGATCAAGAAAGGAAGCAATAGTTGGCTGTGGAGGGTAAAGCTGCCTGTTCACTTTGTCTTGAAGATGATGGACTCTTGGCTTTTATGAAAGGAGAGCAGGCAGGGTGTGTAGGAGGTTTGAGGATTACAGGCAGCCTGGTAGCTGCAGCAGATGGAGCTCTGGGGGTGGAGTGGTCAGAATTGTCACCAGCAGTGACGGTGGTTTAGGCTCCAGAGCTGGAATAGCTGGGAAACACATGGGAGGTGGCAGCATAAGCTATGGCTTCTCCTTTGGATCACATGTGCCTGTGGGTGAGGAGGATGCTATCCCAATCTAGGAATCCTAGATTTGCAGATCAGAGTGGGCTGCCCCAACATCAGTTAGGCCAGGATCCCCAGATCAGAAATCTAGGTGTTCCTGAGGTCTCAGAGTTTGCAGTTAAACAGGAGTGACAGGAATGGTGACCGAGCCAGTATCCCTCTCTAAAGACCGGTATTTAAAAATCAATTCACATAGCCTTTTGCTAACTGACAACAGTGACAGATTTCTAAGTTCTTAATCTCATTAATGAGGCAGGTTTTAAAGTACTTAAAACAGCATCTGCTATATAAGACACTGCACATTATTGAATCAATAAAACAGATATCTGATTGAGAGTCCACAAGACAGTCAATAAGCAATCGTAACTTACAGCAAGTCCTATTTCTAGTGAGAGGCAAGCATAGCATACACATATGCATTCACATTGCGTGCGCGCACACGTGTACACACACACACACACACACACAGAAAGGGGGAAGGGGAAGATGGAGAATGAATGTTCAGTAAACACAAAGTCACTAAGATTTTGTGTCTTGTCCCAGAAGAACATACAATAAGACAAACTTCAGAAATGGTAAAAGTATGCTGTGGTGTATAACCCCACCTACGCTTTTACTTCACCTTAAAACGTGGTCCCAGATCCCCCAACACCTAGAACCATCACCACGGAGTCTTCTGCTGTCAGGAGCTCTGCCTCCACTGGGACTTGGAACTTCTCACTCCAGTGACCCAGCTCCCCTGCAGTAGCTTTTGTCCACTTTGCATGGATACTGAGTCTTTCCAATACACCAAACCCCGTGGCCTCCTGAAAGGTTCCAGATGAATGGTGAGTGGGTGACAGCCTGCAACCCTATTTCCACAGTGAACACTCATGTTTCCAGTGTATGATTGAAACCTATATTGAATCCATGTGAAGACTCTGAGCACCAGGGGAAGGAGGCCTATGTGACAGCTGCTTCTTATTGAAGACATGTAGGGCAAAGAGGATCTATCTCACCCCAGGTAGCTCTCTATCCACCAGACTAGCCCAGTGTAGAGTGGTAGGAGAAAGGTCTAAAAGCCTGGATGTGATGTCCTCTACTAAAGTGGTCTAACTGGAAGTTAAACACAGAGTTCACAATACAGAGCTTGGGTTACTGAAAACCTGATTGGCTAGGCTGTTGTGTGTTTGTTGCCTTTGGCTATTTCTAAAAATTGAACAAGTACTCTCAGAGATATAAATTCTTTATTGAGGAAAGAAAAAATCTGAGGGTTCCCCTTCTTCCTTTCCTATGTGATTTACTCCATTGTATACACTATTCACAAAATTCTAGAAAAATAACACCTTCGAAATCAATTATAGACAAAATGTCTATCTAAAGCAATAGTTTTAAAAGCATGCTTTTTTCTGACTGATAGGTATTTTTGTTTAATTTTTCATGAAAAACGAAAACATCCTGTTCCAAAACAGAGGAGGACATTTTTGTTAGTTAACATAAGAATAGTCTAGGAAAATTTCTTAAAAGAAGGGTAAAAAGAAGTCCTCAGCTTTTCAAAGTACCTTTGGAAGTTCCTGAATTGTCAAATCCATGCCCTGTTCTGCTGATGGAACAGCTTGTTTTCTCCAGCATCCTTTTATCTTTGATGTGAGCACACATTGGGGAAGATGAACTGACTTGGAATTCTGGTATCAAAAGCACGATATGCTGTGGAGAACAGGGTGGGAGCAGTGAAGCCCACAGGCCTGCTGGTTGTCTCCCGGAGGCAGATGATGCTCTTCTGGCTAGCTGGGGAGTTCTTTACCTCCAGAAAATACTGGCAACACAGAGGGAACTCTGTGAAGGCCACCTGTCACTCAAAAGGAAGGTCCTGGAAACTGGAGGTACATATGACTTCAAAGTAGTACCATAATTCAGGTTCACCCTGCTTTAGGTTCTGACAGTGATACACGCACCCTCAGCTTCAGGCTCTGTGATATTACAGTGCCCAACTGAACTAAAAGGGACATTTTTAAACTTTAACAAAAGGAGTATCGTGAGACTTTGTGTTTGAAATGAACATCACGCAAGACCCTCTCAAGACTAAGTGAAACGGAATCTGAATGGTCAGGTCTCTAGAAAACCAGATTCCAACAGGCTTCTGGGTTATTCTACCATGATGGGTCATCTCCACATATTTTATACAAAATTAGTGCTAAAGTTTAAAAAGAAAGCACTCTGTGTTCTATAAATAAGAAACACCTCAGGAAATTTCACACACACACACACACACACACACACACACACACACACACACAATTGCCCTGTGGCTATTTTTGCCTGAATATCTTTCTTAGCAATACATATATAGTTAAGTGTTACAAACTATCATATATTATACATATTTCCTATTGGCAATGGAGATAGATAGAACATGCAAGCATTCAACCACTGAACCACACACTTAGCCCCCAAGGTCATCTCTTTTAAATGGATTCAAACCATCAAAGTGACCAATAGACTTCAAGAAGTGAACACAAATCAGAGACTGCACTAGATTTATTCATTGCATGTGTTCATCCTCAATGAAACATTGGGAAATGGGAATTACAACATTTATGTGCATGTTGCAAATTAGAACACTTAGGATTGAGAGCTGGGGAGGAAACTTAGAAAAGTGCTTGCCACTGAAGTCTGAGGACACATGTGTATGTGAGAACATGGTGTTCCTATAATTGGGAATGTAGAGATGGGGGTCTCTGGGGCTTGCTGCATAATCTCACCTAATTTCTGAGTTCTGGGACCTAGTGGGAGATTGAGTCTCAAACACTGTCAATGTAATTGGTGCCTCAAAAACAGCAACCAAGTTTGACATCTGACATCCTCAATTGTGTGTGTGTGTGTGTGTGTGTGTGTGTGTGTGTGTGGTGTGTGTGTGATGAGTTGAAGATCCTTGAGAAAGGCCATCCATTGCGATATCAGAAAAGCTAGGATCTGACTGAAGTATGCCAGACTCCAAAGCCCAAGCTATTTTCAATGTTCTTTCCTGGAAAGAGGTGCCTTTTTAGCTGACCAGGTTGGTAGAATCAAGGAGGTGAATGAAGGTAATGCTAATGGCCATATCACACTTCCCAAATGGGGAGGTTGGGGCTTCGAGTGATTCCTTCATGTGCCCCAATCACATAGTTTCTAACGGGACACTGGAGTGGGGAAGGTGACCTCTACCTCACTCATGTTCTTTCCACTATGCTAGAACTTCTTTCTCTCTTCTGTTTTTTTTTCTCTTTTTAACTTGAAGACCATCAGTTTTCCCGAACATTTAAATTACCTTCAACACATTAAAAGTCAGTTGACTGAAGCCACAAGACAATC